CGATATTTATATTTGTTCCAGATTTGAACTTACTACTTTTTATGTTTTAGTACATTATTTTAAATTCCCAAAAATTTTTTATCATCCATAAAATGCAAATTTTATCTATTTTTAATTTTTTTAATAGTCATGTACTCTCCTTATGGTTTCAAATAATATACAAGACCCGAAAATAATATTTCTAAGTAAACCTAAACAATAAATGAGTATTTTTATTTTTAACTAGGATTTCATGTTTATATATGTACATAAAAACATTTTAATTTTGTTTCATAAATATATTTTTATTTCAAGTTTATGTTTCATTACAGCCATACTTTTCTTTATTGTGCCAAATAAATTGTGAGGTTAGCAGCGTGAACTTTGAAACATTTGCCGTAAACTATCATGCCTGTTGGTGGTCACTCTCGTTCAGTCCAGCGCAGGCACATTTGAACATTACTCTAGATATGATTGTAAAAAAGCTTTTTTGGTACTTGAATATCATTTCTTTGAACTTTCAAACAAGTGTATTTCAACATATGTCCTTGTATGTTGTTTCAATATACAGACAAAAGTAATTACCACTACTAGCGAATGTATGCAATACTAATAGTTTACAGTACAGGTGGTTTGAATAACACTGTCCGACCCTAGCTACTTGATACATCTTGTTAGAAGACATTACCAAATGATACAGATACCATAAATTACAAAGAAAATTACTTTACAGCACTTAAAAGATTAGTCCTGGTCACATTCCTTTCATTATAGGCAAGATTTATGTTGGAATTTGTAACTTAAACTCTTCAGTGTATTGAGACCCCTACTGTGAGAATGTCATAGCTTCCCCTGTATTATTGAGACAAATGTGTTTAGTCTGTGTCACAACCAACATATGGGTTTTATTGTTGTCATTTGTACACTGAGTTTTAAACCATTTGCAAAATATCACAATAATCTTTATATATATCAGTTAGACTGTTTTAATTCTAAAGCAATAACAACAGAAGTATGGGTCTTACTAGCACTACAAAGTAAAGATTGTAAGAAGGAAAAATATAAAATTCTTATGTGGTACTGGTACTAGTAGTACTACGTACAAATCACACAACTTTATCATTTTAAATACTGATTCATATTATTATTATTATTAACTAAATATAAGATTATACTAAATTATTGAACTTAAAACTACTAATTTAAATGCAAAAGAATTTAAAAATTCAAAAACTCTTTCAGTTCAAAGTGCTAAGCCTAATTCATGTAAAGACCTTGCACTCGCCACTAGATAGCTCTTAACCCTAACAATCGTGGATCAACTTCTTTCCTAAAAATACATCTATTTTGAGTTAATTTTTCAATATAATGATTAATATAAATAGATATACAATACAGCATGACTTAAGCTACTACAGAAAAATAATAAAAATCACATACATCCCAAGCTGTTTTTTCCAGAAGCAAGTTTTCTAAGGCTTATAGAAAAGCACTATTGGCCAGTACTAAATACAACCTCTACATAAAATGGCAGTTACTACAATAAGCACCACCCATATTCATATTGTAAAACCCAGAAAACAATGTTTCATCACGTGCTTACTTTTCATCCTATGATTTGTCAAATGTGAAATATAGCAATTGGAATAACATAGTACTGAAATTGACACCTTCGACTAGGATTGGCTAAAAGTTTTACAACTGAGGTTTAGCATGCCCAGATGCTGTTTTATAATAATAAAAAGAAAAGACTAGAAAAAGGTATAGATACCAATCATAGATAACAGGACCAGCACTGAAGTGGAAGGAAAAATTTTGAAAAAAAAACTCTTCTTAGAGGGCACTTTTTTATAGTATCAAATGTATTTTGGGATTTTATTATTAAATTTGTCTTTAAACTTCATTAATTAATACACTTTTGTATAAATAATTGAATGTTATGCTACTATTTACAAAAATAAAATCTGAAATCCAATAAAAGATAGGTTTTCAATTCACAAATGTGATTCTGCCTTGACAAAATGGCTACGGCAGGTAACTGGTTAACATGTTGGGTAAGAAGTTGGTAGTAATTTAAATAGGTCACCAATTTAAGGAAAGTGTATAAAATGTCAAGGATGAAAAAACAGGATTCACATTATAATAAAATTTCACCACATGATAAGGACAAAGGTTCACAACCAAATTTATGATTTAAATATTTCTTACATACAAGATATTCCTTATAATTAATTCTTAGTTCCTTTTTCTATATATATAGCTGTTGCTTTACTTAGCATGTAAACAAATAACAAGAGAACTACACTTTGCTCCATTTACTAGCAAGATAATGTAGCAAGTTGTAAACATTGTTGCAGTCTTGGCAAGAGGTTGAGTTAAGGCTACCTATCTGGATTGTGTACAGCTATAACTATTGAACAATTATTCACAATATATATATATATATATATATATATATGTTAATACTCATTTTTACTTAAACCTTCAAACTGCATTATTCAAGCTATGAATTAATGAAACACACTATTCTACGAGAAAAGACAGTACTGAACAACCAAAATATGGCAGAACAACTTGCATCAGAATTATTTCGCCATGAAAATTAAATACCTAATTAATACACATGGATAAAGAGCAGATTAGAAATTATTTACAAAACACCAAAAACATTCTGTGATACTAATACTGTAACTAATTCAGTGAAAAATCATGAAAACCATTTAGAATAATACTTAGGAAAAAAATACCCAAATGTTATGTATATGAAAAAGTTTTTTCAATGTTAATTATCATTATAATCTCTATCTTCAGGTTCACTGTCCTCCTAAAGAAATACTGTAAAAGCAATCTATTTGAAAATCATCCCTATCAATTCTATTAAACATAAAAAATAGAATGAATTATGCCAGTAATACCTTGAGTAAATATATACATGTATATTTATTAAGCATAAAAACCTACTTCAATATTAAACTTACAGAATTTCAACAAAAATCAAGAGAAAAATAACAAATTACACAATCTGAATAGTTATTATTTCATAAAAGGTTTCTCAATGTTAATATTTGATGTGGATTTATATCTACGTTTTTTTCTACCTTTTGGAAGTAGCTGGGGTCGAACATAAGGTACAGGAGCACTGACAGCTAAAACAGAGAAAGCCACTAACACATCAAGATGTGCAATCACGTCACTCATCTGTAGAAGTGGTTCACTGTATCCAGCTGATATCATAATTAACAAAATTATATATAAAATGTTATAAAGTTCAGAGACTAAACATACCATCTAATGGGTTTATCTTTCATACACCAATCTATTGAAAGGATTTTGATAAGTAATAAACAAACGTATATAAAAAAATTAAATATTTTGCTGGAAACATTATAATTTTATTTCATTAATAAATGTTTTATCCTTTTCTAAGAACATATGAACAACTGTAGTGGCTTAAGAGTGAGAAGAACATATTGCAATTAGAAAGATAATTTTCAGTAAAAAAGCACTGTGAATGAACCAAGAGATTTACTATTTCCAGAGTACATAATATTTCTAAGCAAGTAATGGTATAAAACTTATATATTTCTTTAATTATATATGTGAAAGAACTATACTGTTTCTCCTAAATTATATGAGACATATGCTTAGGAATTTTATTAAACAAAATATACTGAAACTTGGAGTTAAATTTTACTATAGTAAGTACTTTTTTCTCTTTTCTCCCAAGTGAAATTAAAAATATGTAATAGCAAAGATATTTTGAGAATAAGAGTACAAAATAACTTTGAGAGCAGCTTTTTTTGGCATGCCTTTAATTCTTTTTAACCTTTTAATAAAATGTGATTTGAATTCTTTAAAATAAAAATAATCACCTTGAAAGGAGAAGTAAAAGAGACAATCTCTTCAAAATATAAAACAAAACTCAAGTGTTTTATCTGATACAACATCATAAATATATTTCAATGTAGAAACCTTATTTGGAAGTTTTAAGAACAAATATACATTCATAAAAACATACCAGCAATATCCATGATCATATCAACTACATTCTTTTGTTGCTTTTCATAGTCTAAACGTATAGCCACATACTTTGCATTCAACTGACGGAGTAATGAATTATGAAAACGAACTCCATTTTGTTTGGTATCAATGGTGAAGAAATCTTTTCTATTTCGAAGGGCTTTCTCTTCCTAAATGACAAAAGATTAACATCATCCACTATTTACACTAAGAGATTATATTTCATTTGATTACAAGTTTGTTTTATATTTTCATGCAAAGCTACACAAGAGTTATCTGTGCATAGCCATCCCTAATTTTGAAATGATACACTAAGGAAAGCAGCTGTCACCAACATCCAAACTCTTGGGTTACTTTTACCTGATTGAATAATGAGGTTTGAGTGTCTTTCTTAGCACACTGTGCAGAGTACATGTTTGCAGCAATTAGTTTCTAACCAACAATGAACACACTAATCACTATACCATTCCTAGATCACTGCATTTTCTAAAAATTTCTGAATTTGTAGTTTCTTGATAATTTATGTGCATAATGTTTCATTAATTTGTATACTTTTACTCTGAGCTTAATAAATAAATTTAGTCTGTTTAATCACACTGATTATAAATAATTAATAAGGGATACAACATATTTTAATAAATATAATATACTCAAAATTTAATAAAACCATCAGTTCAACATCTTTTTCATAACATCCAATAAAACCACATGACCCATACTTTCAAAGCCCTCTCACAAACCAGAACAGCAATACTTTGATTTCTCAACTAAAACAGTTAGATTGGTTCCTCTTTATTTGCTAAACAGCTTGAAGCAGTAATAATTAGAAATGTGTGTATCATAAAATAGTCAGAAGTTTCAGAAAACAAAAAAAGAGAACCGCTCTACTTACAGTTTGAAAACAAAAATGAACAGTTTATTTCTTGTTAAGCATACAGGGTTGGTTATCTGTGCTGTGCCCATCAGGAGTATTGAAACCTAGTTTTTAGTGGTATGAGCCCTCAGACTTACCACTGAGCCACTGGTAGCAATATAAACATGAACCAATCATATGAATAAATTTTTCCTTGGAGTTTATAATGCTATTTCTATATCTAGTAATGAGAAAGTAACTTAAAATTAGAGCTGAATCATAAAATCTACCGTACTTTTACTAATTTTAATGTTTTACTAAATTACCACCTTAGGTCTACTTTAGAGAGGTTACATTCCATGTCTAGAAATTTGAGATAAGTAAACGTCTGGGGTTATGCTACCTTATTCTAGTAAAATACTTATATTTTGTTTATGAGGTTACCAAAAAGTACATTCTTGAACATGAACTAGTGTAACAGAGTACAGATTAATGGTAACAACAATATTATAATAGATTCTTTGAATCAATCAATCAGAAATCTGTTTTACTGTATAATGTCAGAAACTTCAACTTGGGCCAACCTATTTTCATCATGAAATTGAAACACTATCTTTTTATCAGTCTCCAAGCTTGTACAATTCAAACATACTCAATTCCTAGGAAATTAAATGGAATATATAAATGTTAGAAAAATTAGAATAGTTATAGAAACAAAGGCTTCTTCTTCTTCAGCAACACATAAATCTACAGCACACATTCTTTAGGACTCAAATTCAAAATATGCTGGTACTGTCTTCTTATCAACTAAATTTTAGGTTTTAACGCCCTAAGTTTTTTTGCTTGGTTAAAGGTAGTGGACACTGTGATTGCCCTTTGTGAGAACATTAAACAGGTAGAATTAAAAAGAAAGGCTCTAAGTGGAAAAAAAAAAAGAATCAGTGTAAAAATGAGATGAACTGCTCAAAAGTAAGAAAAGTGAAAAAGTAGTGTGACAGTAGAGGTAAACTTGCACTGTCCTATGGTTAAATTGTTTTGCATATGGGCTCAAAAAACAATTTTAGATTGAGCCAAATGCTTTAATATCAACTGGTGTTGATATTAAAGGATCACTTTTTAAATTTCAAATTCAAGTGTTTTTGTTATTCAGCATGTCCTCAAGTGAAATTTCAGCTTAAAATATTTTTGTTGATGAAGTTACAAGGTAATTATGGTTTTATTACAGTGACGTTTGCAGAATTTTGTATATAAATATACACATACAAGGTGGAGACATTACATAATAAACAATAACCACTCTTCAGAAATTATATTTCTATACAATCATTTGTATGACTCTAATTAGAAATGCCAACATCCCAACTTTATCTTATTCTTTAAATTCTATTAACTCTCTCAACAAAGGCTTGGTCAATTTGACCAATCACGTGACCTTTTTGTACTTGATTAAAGTCTTTATAGATTTAACACTTCTAGCTTTCAATATAGTGTGTATATCCCCACAAAATTTGGCAATATTACAAGTCTTCCACATACAAAAAAAATCATATTTCTTATTGAAGTATTTTTAATAAAATAAAATAAAGATTTGTCCATGAATATACTGAGTATTTGTTTCAAATAGTCTGTGTGCAAAGTAATTTTAATGTTAAAATTAAAAATACTTTTCCTCATCTAAAAAATCCAAATTTCCTGTGTATAATCCCTTAAACCTCCTAAATGAATTTCAAACGTTTTTTTTCCATTAAATCATTATGGTTTATCTGTTATTTTCTTTACTCTATCTCAAAATGGGATTGTTCAAATCAACTGACCTCGTAACCACCAAAAATAATCAAAATAAACCTAAATTAACCTTTATTTCTTTCTAG